TTACAATTTAACTGTGCATCTTTGGTTATCTCGCTGACATGTTACAACAATTTGAGTAAGCTTTAAACTGATAAACCATTTGCAATATAACAGGTATCAACTTGTATTAAGGATTTTTCTAACATGATTAGGCTACATAATTTCATGACTTCAGTTTAGGAAAAACAAAGAAGAACTGGTTACAGACACTCTGTGTCAAAGGCAGATATGGATGCTATATTGAGAAACTCACTGATAACCCAAATATATTGTTTGGTTTAGCCTTTTCTCCAACTATATCACAGCTGTTTCCAAGTAGCCAACAAATTAGCAAAGTCAACTGACTCTATTTCATTTGTTTCCCCTTTCCTTGTCCACTCTGTATTGGTGTCATATCATAAAACTATGGAAAGGATCCATATTATGCATAACTTGAGCAATAAGTCCCTGAGTACTGGAGGTAATTCTATTCTACTGCCAGAAATATGGAACTAAATTCGGGACTAACTCCATCTACATGCAGCTTGATAAGCAATCTCTTACCTAGCCAGTAGGTGGAGGCACACACAAACTACTACTTTGCTCTTTGATCCACTGGACCTTAAATCTTGTAGTAAATTCATGGTTTTGATTCGTTTGTCTATTTGTTTTAAACCCAGGAGGATCAAACAGAATGCAAAAAACTTGGGTGAATTTATGAAAAATCATGATACAAAAAACAATTTTACATTTCAATTTTGTTTCTGACCCCTTTGAAAAACAATGAAGTACTTTTAACTATGAATTTATAATCTACTTCCAGATCCTTAGAGTTATAAAAACAATTCTAAATTTAGAAAAATGTCCTTTAAAATTCATGTTCAATCAGGGAAAACTTAACATCAATTGAATATATGATATCAAGACATTATTATTGATTTTGCTAGGCATGACAATAGTATTACTATTTAAATAAGTCCTTAACTGTCAGAAATACAAACAGGAGAATTTATAGTTGAAATGACACTGCTTTAAAAATCTCCAGGAGATAAAAAAGACAACAGTAAAGGATAGGTAGGAAAAGCATAGCAAAATGTTAATAATGGTTGAAGTTGGGTGACAGGTACACTGAGGTTCATTACAGTACTCTCTTTTTATTTAAAAATCTTTTTATTTAAAAATTCCCCAAAAAGGTTAAAAAATAGAAATTTATGTTCTAGTGATTTGGGTTAACATTGGGATTAGGTGTTATTAGGACAGGTAAATATGCAATTTTAATGAGGTCTCATCTCAATGTATAGCCACTGATGAATTATTTCAAATGAATCATATAAAATAAGCTATATACAACCTCATACAGATTCCACACTGAAAAATTAAAACTAACCTGTTCAATCTATTGAAAACATTATCTTATAACTTTAGAGTACTTTATCATTTTATGAAAAGTAAATTCACATAGTTTTCTCATCTAGTTCTTATAATCTTATGAAGAGAAGATTTTAAGAGTAAGACACCTGAGTCTCTAAAAGACTTGGCCAAAGTCACATTATTAATAAAAATAACATAGTTGGGATACTAAAACAAGTTTTATGACACCAAAGACCACTGTCTCTCTACTGCAGTTAGAACTTTTTGAAACAAATAGCAGACAGGATGAAATTTAAACAAATTTTTATATTTTGCTTTCTGTGCTCACTACTTTATGGTATATGATAAACCTATTTTTTTAGTTGTCTCAGTGAATAAAAATTTGGACAGAAACATTTTTTTACGTATGTTTTTATTGATTTTTTAGAGGAAGGGAGAAGGAGAGAGAGATAGAAACATCGATGTGAGAGAGAAACATCGATTGGCTGCCTCCTGCAGGCCTCCTACTGGGAATCAAGCCTGCAACCCAGGCATGTGCCCTGATTGGGAATCTAACAGGGACCTCTCAGTCCATTGAGCCATACTGACTGGGCCAGAAACATATTTCTTGAATAAAGAATAAAATTTAACCAGAAACAGTGATTAAAAGAATTATAATATCACCCTGGCTGGTGTGGCTCAGCTGGTTGGAGCATGATCCTGAGCACCAAAAGGTGGTGGGTTAGATTCCCAGTCAGGGCACATACCCAGGTTGTGGGTTCCATCCCCAGTTGGGAGGCAGCTGGCCGATCAATGTTTCTCTCTCTCTCTCTCTCTCTCTTTCTGTTTCTTTTTCTAAAATCAAAAGGGGAAAGAAGAATTATAATATCTTAAAATTGGAAGGGACATTAGAGGCCCTCTCTAGTCCAAAATTAACACCTTATCTTCAGCTCCCCTGGATGGATCCAGCTTCAGCTTAAGTATTTCTAGTGAAGAACGCATACTCTGTGAGACAGCCCATTTCCTTTATGTAGTTAGTCTAGTCACTACAGTTTTTCTTTTCTTAGAGGTGAAATCCACCTGCCATTTGTTGATTTTAGTTACAACTCTGATCCTACACTGAATAAATATATAATCTTCTTACAGAGGACCATCAATTTTCTGTTGTTTTTAATCCTCACCCAAGGATATTTTTCCACTTTTAGATAGAGTGGAAGGGAGGGAGAGAGAGAGAGAGAGAGAAACATCAGTGTAAGAGAGACACATCTACTGGTTGCCTCCCGCACGACCCTGACTGGGTCAGGGGATTGAACCTGCAACCCAGGTTCGTGCCCTTGACTGAGAATTGAACTCTTCAGCCCACAGGCCGATGCTCTAACCTCTCAGCCAAACCAGCCAGGGCCAGATGATAATCTTTTAAATAACTGAAGACATCCCCTGTATCCTACCATGGGTTTCTGCTCTGAGGACTCTTTCAGCGGAAAAGGAAAACCAATAGATTCTTGGGTAACTAAAGCCTCCCAACCTTTTCAATAGCTCTTCCATGCCAGTGGTCTTAAAACTGGGACCTGAGTACCTCTGGGAGTACCCAAAGTCCTTTCCAAGGCATTAGGATATTTTTAAGGCAATCAATTTCTATCTCTTCACTTACCATAATTTGGTCTATCAAATCTATGGTTTGCTGCTTTTCCTTTTACATCTCCACTCACAGGAACCCATCTTAACTGACAAACCACTCACGTATCCTGTGAAGCCTGCCTAGTTTCAAAGAGACAACAGAGGAATGGAATGCAAATCCCCTGAGGGAAGAAGAGAACCTTGAGAACAAAACAGAACTTGGGAAAGAAAGGGGAGAGCCATCTTATTTCATCCAGACAATATATTCATAGCAAAGCCTGATCCATTTTAGATTTAGAAATCAATAGTAACATGATTGTCACAAGGATGTCTATTAACACTTGAATTTTATTTGAAAAATGAAGTCAGATTTTTTTCTGTCAGAAAGCGAGTCGGATTTGGCTCACTGGATTGACAACGATGACTAGCTTTGCCATTTAGGTTACAGAGCAGATCTAAGTTGAGATAAAAGTGCAGCTCTACAGTTTTGATGAAGACATTTCAATAATATACGAAACACTGAAAATTACAACCTCACGATAAAAGTTTTTATGTATCAACTTAAAAATATGTGAGGAGGTACATAGTTTTCAAAATTCTTTTAGTAGCTTTGTCAACTCTATGACAGAATTTCTAGGCTCTTTCCCACTCTGGCTATCTCCTTCGGGAAGCATGCCAGTAGCCTGCTTACTATGAACATGCCAGGAGAATGAGCAATATACAATACAGTGAAAACACAGCTTGGTTCTGAATACTATCTACTTATAATTAATGTAGTCAAAGGTTCCATTCAGCGATGTTAAAGTTCTGTTGCCACAACTAAAACGTTTACATCTTTTTCACCTAAACAGTTACAACTAAATTCACAGTGAATTTACACTTCCATATTGAATGAATAAGTTTATATTAACTGGCCTTAAATGTCATCTTCTGGTTTTAGCTTCTTTGCTGCTAACTTGTAACATACTTAAAAATTTTGATCTAGATATTCAATGTATTAGCTAGCCCTCTGTGGGAGTAGCTTTTGACAGAGTTCCCAGTGATCACCACCTTCTGGTATTCACACCCTTGTGTAATCCCCTCCCCCTGTGCGTGGGCTGGTTCTAGTGACTTGTTTCTAACTAATAGAATATGGCAGAATTGGTGGTGTATGATTTCTGAGATTAGGTTACAAGACTGACTTCAGTTTTGTTTGTACTCTTGTCCTCTTGCTTGTTCATTCTGATGAAGCCAGCTACCATGTTGTGAGATGCTCCATGGAAGGACCCAGTTACATGGAACCTAGGGTGGCCTCAGGCCAACTACTCATGAGGAACTAAGGCCCTCGGTCCAATGTCTGCTGCCAACAACCATGTGAGTGAGTTTGGAAGCAGATCTATCCCCAGTGGAACCTTAAAATGACTATAGTCCTGGCCAACTCCTTGATTACTAATTTGTGAGAGACCCTAATCAAAGTCACTGATTAAAATTTGAACACAATAGGATGGCATCCCATAAAGGACATAGTCTCTGGACACAATCATCCAACCAGCTATAAAATTATCCAGTTGTCCTATCTTTCGCTCACATTTCTCTATCTTACTGACAATACTTCTATGGAAAATACGTCAAGTGGCTTATTGAAATCAAGATACACTATAATATGTAGAATTTCCCTTATATGCCAATATAGTGATTATATCAAAAGAAGAAGTTAAGTGTGTTATTACTTGTTTTTAATTGCTAGATAGGCTTGCTACATGGAGGCCTCTGGTACCATCCTACTCCTCCTCACGAAGACTCCTAAGAATCAGAATTTTCTATTTTGGGGCCTGCTATCTCTCTGAATTCTTTCTTTTTAGAGCCTCTTCTCCAAAGAATGCTAAAAATGTGAGAGTAACTAAATATGACCACCTTTTGCTTCCTCAGCTACTGTGAACCTGAAGATGAGATAATCCTTTTATTCTTATTACTTTAGGTCTTTCTAAATAGATGAGTTCACAACTATTGTTAAATTTTAAAAGAAGGTATTAGTGTTATCCAAAACCAACATTGCTTAAAACTTTAACCCTTAAGAAAATAAAATGTACACTCACAATTCAAAAACCATGTAAAGCATTCCATCTGAGCTATATGTCTCCAATAACTCTACAATGTGTGGATGTTTCAGCATATGACAGATACTGGCTTCCCGCTTTAGATCTGCAAAACAAACACACAACATACTTTGTTAGGTAGGAACAAAAGACAATCAGAGTGAATAATGAGTGAATGGATATGATCTATGGTAACATGAAGACTTCTCTAACTAAAGAGATGAAATCCCCCATTTAAGCTAAGCCTAACTTTTTACCCTTCAAAATCTATGACGCTAACTTTTTCCCTCTCTTTTGCCACCTTAAATCTATATACATTATAGAGTCAGCCCTTGTTAATAAAAAATGTAAATAGCACAAATAAAAACTTTCCCCAAACTCTTATAAGCAAGTTTTGAAATTTATAATTTTTTTTTAACTTGGTTTCTTATTTATTTATTCATATTATTTTTCTCCAATTTTTATTAATTTATTTTTTGTTACAGATATTTCTCCTTTTATATAATTCTTTTTAAATCTGCTAATAAGGAACTCAATTTGCTGTTTTGAATTTTACTTTTTCTTAGTTTTCCTTAAAATGGATAAGAATATGTTTATTCTTCAGCCTAAAATTTATAGACACACATCAGAGAAGTTATATGGGATAGTGGGCAAAAAGAGTATGCTTTAAACAGAAAAGACACTACTCGCAGAGTCAAAGTCAGAAATTTTTTTTACATCATCTACAAAACATGTTGGATAATTCAGCACACTACCTACAGTGTAATTCTGAAGAACAAATTCAGATAATGTAGGTAAGACCAGTGTGTAAGTTCTACAATACTATTTGGAAAATATCATCATCATTATCTGAAAACAGTTTGGTTATAAATATCACCTATCATGTCTACATGGAACAAGATAATTAAAGCCTTCCTGTGCTAATAAGTGCTGGAGTTTCACCTGTTCAGATGAATAAAATCCAATATGACATTTTTATATTTGGAAGTAGAAGGGGCATAGGTAAAAAACAAAGGGTAAGGATACATTGCCCAAAGCAAAGGAGATAACATTATCTTCTCTCTGATTTATTAATCCAACTTAGTCTTGTCAACAAGAACAATGGCTGCAGAGGGAACCATAGAAGACTTTACATAAGGGTAGGATGAAGAAAGCAAGTCAGTAATTTAGACAAGAGAAGCTACCAGAAAAGGAAGAGTCAATAACACAACATTAAGGAAATCAAGGAAAAGAGGGAATTAAGGCATGAGTAGTTGGAGAAGGCAGAGAAAAGGCTGTAAGATTCAGCCAGAAAGACCATTAGCATTCTGGGCAAGATAAAGTTCTGTGGAGATGTCAGGTTTGAGGTCAGAATGCAGGAGACAGTTATGTAATAATAAATTAAAGTTTATCATGTCTCTCACTGGGTTAAGTACTTAATATAGTCATTGTCATACAATGTCCTAACAACCCTGTGAGACAGGTATTTTACAGATGAGGAAACGGGCTTAGAAATGTGTTCCAGATCACATAGCTATGACAAAGGGTAGCTTTGAGCCCTGGCCTCTCCAAGGCCATGATGAGGGCTTTCAACATGATCAGATGAGAAGAATCTGGCAGTAGGAAAGGAATAGAAGGGTCAAAGGAGGTTTGATTGATTGTTTTTGCTGTTGTTTTACAGGGAACACTCAGTATGTTTGTAAGTGGCAGTGAGGAAAAGCCCGCAGGATCTACACTCAGGAAACCTGGTGCCAGCCCTGCCTCTATCACTGCAACATGCCAGCCAACTGATAACCTCTACAAACGCCTTCCTTACGGCAGATGAAACGGGGGAGGCAGTAGGCGACGTGGGACCTGCAGAGTCTGCTAAATCGACTTCAGAGGGCACTGGTAGGATTCAAATGAGAAAATGGATGTGAAAGGACTGTGTGGGGCGCAGAACTATGGGGCTGAGGGGTAAGGAGGCTCAGTGCTCAGTGTAAAGGAAGAGATCAGAGGTACGGGAAGGATGGTATGCAGCTCCTGACGTGGATGGAAAAGTCCTTCAGGGGAGGGGAAGTGTGAATCAGGTGTGGGTTTTGTGCTGGGAAGTCATAACTAGGAGGAAGGCTTTTAAAGTGTGCTGGAGGGCCAGGCTGAAGCCAAACAACATAAATCAGATGCCTGCAGTTTTTCTCTCCCTTCAAGAATGTTGCTATTAAAAGCTTAGGAGTTTTATTACTTATTTTTATGTTTGCCTCTAGCTTCTCATTTTATTAGAAGTCACCCTTTTAATATCTTCTGTTTCCACCTTAGTTTCTCTCTTTCCATTTCTTCCCATTCTGATATAAAAGCTGATTTTAACTTAATGCTCTGACACTGCAGTCAAGAAGTAAACAGAGATTTAGTGTTTGACACACTAAAAAACTGGTCTTTTCTTCTGTTTTCAGTTTATTTTTTATTTTGCCCCTTTCCTGTAACGACAGGGTGTTTCAGCCCCTACACTCACCATTTGCCATATGCCACATCTGTTATACCAAGACTGAAGGCAGACAGGAAGGCACAAAAGAACCTTCCATTAGAACTTGTGCATTACTGCTTGGTATGTGGCTGAAAACGCCCCCCGTTTAGTCACTACTATTTACCTGTCTTCAAAACGGAGACAGAATTGCTGGGGACACTGCCTTCAAAGACTAAAACCATTTAAATGTCACCAAGTCTGACATTTCAGTGACTAAAATCAGAACACCAATTGAGTAGCACAAAACTAAACATAAAAATATATTTGAAATTATAAGAGCAATGACCCGTCCGACCGGTGTGGCTCAGCGGTTGAATGTCAACCCATGCACCAAGAGGTCGTTGGGTCAGGACACATGCCCAGGTTGTGGGCCCGATCCCCAGTGGGGGGCATGCAGAAGGCAGCCAATCGATGCTCTGTCTCATGGATGTTTCTATCTCTCTCTCCCTCTCACTTCTTCTCTCTCTAAAGTCAATAAAAAGAAAAGAAAAAAAAAGAGCAATGATGTATAAGTTGGCTTCTATCTACAATAACTGTGGTACCATTTTCCGTAATTCAAGTATCGATTAAATGGGTATATTAAAAATCCCAAATAGAAAATCATTGTTTAAAAAATACAAACATATTATATATATGCATTTTAACTATAGATTCCAAGAATATTAAACTTGGAATGTTTGTTTTAGATGTAAATGTTAATTAAATATATATGTGTTAAGTGCTATTAATTCCTTGCTGATATAGCAAACTAAAAATAGTGGAGGCATACGTCGTTTTTTTGGACTTTGATTTATTGCAGTTCACAGATGTCATGTTTTTTTACAAACTGAAGGCAAGATCCACCCCCCGCCCCCAAGCACAAAGCATTGCTTTACTGCAATGCTCCTTTTATTGTGGTGGCCTGGAACCAAACCTGCAATATCTCCGAGGTATGCCTGTTTTTGCCTACTCATGAGGCAGAGTAGGAAAGAATGAGAAAGTAGGTGGTAATAATATGATTTGAAATAGAGAGTATCTGACTGCTTAGAGATATTAGCACAGAACATTCCTGTGGGTGACCTGACACAGAGTTACCATAGGTATTTGGAAGTGTTACTTTGTCTCCAGTTAACTGGTAACTCTCTCCACGGTTCCTTGTGCTTTTTCATTTTCTAATTTCTCAGGGAAATTTTAGAAGACTTAAAAATAATCTATTTCTATTTTTAGTGATCTTATATTTAACTACATGCCTATATTTTATCAATTTACTTCCGTTTAAAAGGGGCGCTAGTAGTATGGAAAGCAGTATTTAATTTTCTGACCAAAATTGGAGAAACACACAGATCAAATCAACTGGCTACATGTCATTATTTTTCTACTTCCATTCCTATTACCACTATTACTAGTTTCCTAAGACATTTAGGCCTAAATTTTTTTAAAAAGAATTTTCCTGGAAAGCACTTACTTATTCATTTCACTATTAGTTGTTCTTGTGACAAAATTCTTCACACTGTCTTTTAAAAGTTGGATGCTACTTTCAGAGTGCCACAATTCTGCCAACTTAATTTGACTATAGGTCAAAAATAATTCAGGTATTTACGAATATTTAAAGGAATGATTTCTGATATTCTTAGCACTGGATTAGCAATCTTGACCTCAGTATATAAAAGATCTAAATTTATGTTAGCTTGCCCAGAACCATTCAGTAGGAATTTAGATTGGCACCATCCAATAGAAATATATTGTGAGCCATATATAAAATTTAAAATTTTTCAGTAGCCACATTAAAAAGTAAAAACAGGCAAAATTTATTTTAACATATTTTATGTAATCCAATATATCCAAAGTATTATTTCAACATATAATCATATTAAAATTATTAATGAAATATGGTATTCTCTTTTTGTACTAAGTCTTTGAGATCCAGTGTGTGCTTTATACTTATAGCACATTTCAATTTGTACCAACCATATTTCCAGTGCTCAAGAGCTACAGGTGGCTAGTGTCTACCAAATTGGAATGGCATCGTTCTACATAAATTTACTCTCTCAATATGAATTCTTCTGCATTTTTTATATAGATATTTGTAAAGTTATTCAAAAAAGAATTTAAACTAAAACAGACATGTTTTTATAAAAAATTACTTCCATGGAGGGAAATGCTATAGCTTCTTCGAATAACCTAATTCCATCACTTAATAATTAAACCTGGAATTTCTTCACTATTTTTAATCTCCATCCTTTAATTTTTAATTAGCTTATCTTGCGTAACCTGCCAAACACGGAAAAGGTAGTCAACATCCACTGTATAGTAGTCCTTTTTACACTTCAAAATTTATTGAATGACCTTAGACTGTGCAGTGCATCATTTGTTTACCACATAGCATTTGAGATTTTAAGTGCCCCTCTATACGTCCTTATTTAATAACTATAATAACCCTTCAAGATAAATATATTTATTTCTACCTTACAGAGGAAGAAACTGAGGCCTCAGATTCAGTGAGATTAAGTTACTGAAATCACACAGTAGTAAGTAGAGGAAGCAGGACTAATAACTGAAGTCCAGTGCTCTTTACATCACACCACAATGGCTCCTGGGGTTGTGTAGTTGCTATGTGTACCCTTAAGATCCAATCACACAACAGTGCT